CCTTCCCAGCCCCGCCCGGCCCCCGACGACTTCGGGCGGGGAGGGGCTGTCCCGGAGGCGCCTCCCGACTGCCGACGGAGTGCCCCTCCCGCCCTCGCCTCCTTGGCCCGTTTACCCCGCGTCCCCATGTCCCCGGGGCCACCAGCCCAGGGAGGGGACAGAGCGAACCAACCCTCTCGTCCTCCCTGGCGCCTTTCGGAGCCGCGGGGGCGGGACGCACCCTGGGTCGGAGAGGTCTGAGCACAGCCTCGGACCGTGATCTCGGCACAGATCGCGTCCGGGCACTGGGCCACCAGTTTCTTCTGACCCGAGGTGGACGTGCTTACCTGCCCCGACTCTCCCACCCAACCCCGCACCATCTGGCTGCTTTAGGGACGACTGGGCAACCTGTCACCTCTTCTCCCAGCCGCTCCAGGGCTCCGGGGCGAACGGCTGTCGCAATCCTCCCTCAAGTAGTCCCAGCCCTCTTCTCCCGGATCCCTGGAGGACGGGGCGGGGAAGACAGACGATTTGTCCAGGCGGCTGGCGTGACCCCACTCTCCGGGCCCGTGGCCAGTGGCCTGGGGCAGCCACGGGGGACGGCCACTAGGTGGCAGCCTGTGCCTGGTAGTGAGGGCTCCCGCCGCCGAGGAGCGCGGCCGCCGCGCTGCCAAGGGGTCACCCAGATTCTGGCGACTGGAGGGCCCGCGGGACGGGGAGGCGGCGATTGCGCTGGGAGTGGTGCTGCGGGAAGGGGACAGCGAGCCAGAGCCTGGGGCGCCTGAGGCCCGGGGACTAAGCCGTGTGCTTCTGTTTGTTCTGCCTCCCCTGCGGTCTTGGAGGTTACACATTAACCCCCGTGGGGCTCCCGGGTCGGCGAAGGCCCTGTCGGTTTCCAGGTGAGAGCACGAGTGGTCCCGGGTGAATGGCGCTCCCTTTCTGCGCTCCCCCTGGTTTTCTGGACAGCTTTGTCGGCCAACCGACCGACGGCCCACCCTAGCCAGCGACCCAGGACTGGGGCTCTCCTGGTCAAGCCTTGGGGGTGGGTTTGGGTTTCCAGGGGCGGGAGCAGAGGATAAATACCCCTTTCGTCAAAATTCCCCACCCACTCAGAAATAAGAGACGCTAACCTTGAACTAATCACCATCCTCATTACTGAGATTTTATGGCGCTCCAGCAGTGCACGAGGCACCAAGAACCTGGAATTAAACTCACGGATCCTCAAGGCCTTGGGGGGTGAGGGGTGGGTGGTGGAGATGAGGCTTTCCACTCCCATGAGGGGTTGTAGCCTGGCGAACCCACCTGGGCAGTTCTACCCTGCCCTATAGGGTCGCTATGGGTCCGGATCCACTCAAGGGCAGTGAGTTTGGTTTGGGTTTGGACCAGCACCCCTGCCTCTGAGCAAAAGCTTTGAACCCATCCCAGCCGAATGGAATGGTCTTCAGATAGGAGTCAACCTGCCCCTCATTTCCCCCTACTCTGCCCCAAGGAAGTTATTTTTAGGGGAGTGCAGAGGGTCAAGCTGCAACGTTATTTACTCATTTGGTGGGGGCAGTTGGATGATGCTGACAAATTCAGGGTTCACCGTGCAGACTGGAAACCTTGTCCCATCCTCCCCAGGTGAATCAGCCTGCACAAACGGGGTTTCCCCGGCCCCTCCCTAAGCAAACACGAAACTAACCCTGTTGCCTTCTGGGCTGACCAAGACGCTCTCGGTCTAGTTTTGGCTCAGGGAGACTCTGCTCTCTGCTTCTGAAATGACGTCACTCGTGGACAGGGTGGAGTCTGTGCTAACTTGCCACCCCCACTTGGCCAGCGGAGGGGCAACTGTCTCGGGCGCAGCACCCTTCGTAGGCTCTGCGAGGATCCAGCCACGGGGGTGGTACAGTACCCTGGGGGCGCACCAACAAATGGCATGGCGCCCCATGCCCAGGACCCAGAGAGGGTGGGATCGACAGAGCGAAGGGCAGGCTTGTCAGGGTGGCCGGGAGTCGGCAGACACGTGGGACTGAACTAGCGCCCGGTTCCAGCAGCTCCGCCCCGCACATATCGCCCAGGACGTGGGCCGGCGCTTCAGAGTGGGCGGGTCCGCGCACGCGCCGTGTCTCCGTGTGGCGGGATTCCGGAAGTGAGACCCTGAACACAGCGATGGAGAAGTACGAGCGGATCCGAGTGGTGGGAAGAGGTGCATTCGGGTGAGCCAGGGCTCTGGGGGTGCAAAGTGCTCGGGTGGGGGGAAGAAAACGACGCCCCGTTTGCGGTCGTGAAATCCCTGCCCCTCGAGCCCCACCCCCAAGGCGTGAGCGCCCACTGGGAGCAGCCCCGCCCAGGTTTCCGGTGTGGGGCTGGCGAGAGGCTCCGCCTCCAGCGAGGCCACGCCCCCGAGCTGCGCTAAGCCCGCGCATTGATCTTTGATTCCTGCGGACTCGTTCATTCAACAAACACTGAACGCCATCTCTGCTAGACAGGCTCTGCGGCCGAGTTTACAGTTATGACTAAAACATGTGCGGTCTTTCTGCTCTCAGAGCTTTATGCGCCAGAGAGTAAGCCATGCAATCAACGAAAAATTGGTAGGCGGGTTAGGAAGCTGTGGCAGATGGGAAAGTTATTAATTGGCTTTGAGGAGATTACAAATCAGGGACACTACTAGAAGAATACAAGTCAAGGAAGACTTCTCTGAGCAGTAAGATTGAAAGCCAAGGCTTGAAGATTGAGGACCACTGGCGGGGAAGTAAAGACCTTTCAGGCAGGAAGCCACTGAGACCCTAGGGAGGAAAACATCCAGAGCGTTCAAGGCACTGAGAAAAGGACTAGTTGGGATGTGGTGGGTGGGCTGGAGAAAGGTGCCAAATGAGGTTGCTAATGTGGACAGACAGCGGATAGAGCCTTGTATTGCAGTATAAGAGGAAGAGTTTTAAGCAGAAGGATGGTCTGAACTGATTGGAGTGTTTGAAACACTTTTGCCGCTGTGTTGAAGTTAGATTTGAGGGTGATTGGTGAAAGGAACCATTTCAGAGGCTGCTAGGAATTTTAGGCAAGAGATGATGATTCCATCAAGGGGCCCAGCAGAGGACTTGGAGAGGAGGGTACAGGTTCATGATATTTTGAAAGATGAGGCTGTCTGCTCCTCTGAAGGTTTACACAGCCTTGGACACGTACACTATATAAGGTGACTGAGCCGCTGTTGACCTTACGGCGTTGGGTTTGGTTTTGATATACGAGTTATCTGGTGGAGAGCTGCAGCAGGTCATTGGTGTGGAAGTCAGGGACTCAGGAGAAATCTGGGCTGGAGATAGAACTTTGAGACTTAGATGACCAGCTTGTACTAGTTCGTCCATTCAGCAAATGTTGATGGAGCTCCTCATATGTACTAAGTGTTGAAGAGCAAGGAAGTTACTTTGAGGACTGAGGCGCACCTGCCGCAAGCCATGGTATTTTCATTTGCCTCGTGTGCCTGTGCGGGTGGACATTGAATAAGGAAGCCTGATGAAGGGTGGCTACATGTGAATTACGGTGCTATCGAAGAATATTGAAAGCACCGTGGACTTCCAGAAAAAAACACACATCTTATCTTGGAAGCGCAGGCAGAATGCTCCTTGGAACCAAGGATGGTGAGACTTCATCGTGCATACTCTGGGCATGTTATCAGGAGAGACCAGCCCCTGAAGAAAGACATCAGGCTTGGCAAAGTAGAGAGGTGGCAAAAAAGAGGAAGCCCCTTAAAACACAGTGGCGGCAACAAGGGGCTCAAGGAGAACAACTGTGGGGATCTTGCAGACCGGCAGTGTGTTCTTCTGTTGTGCATCAGGTCACAACTAAGAACAAGCTGTGTTAAATACTAGGCTGTTTACTGAAGATGTACTGGGGAACAAGAACAACCTTAGGGGCATTGACCAGAGTTGGAATGAGAAAACCGTACGAATGGAAAATAAAAAGTGTGAGTGGTTTACACTCATTGACCATTTCCTACGCGCCAACCACTAGCAAAGTGCCTTATGTTTATTTTCTCACATGATCTTGATAACCCTGTGAAGTATTGTCCCCTATATCCAGATGACATGTCACAGCTAGTGATGACAGCTAGGTTTGAACCCAGGCAGTTACCGTATATACTCATGTATAAGCCAAGTTTTTCAGCACATTTTTAATGCAGCTTTTGTAGTAAAATTAGGTGCCTGGGCTGATATTTGGGTCAGCTTATACTCGCGTATATATGGTAACCCCCAGATCTTAACACATACGCACACCAAAAGGTGCCATCAAATTGACTGTGACTCTTGGCGGCCCGGTGTGTATTAGGGTAGAACTGAGGTTCATAGGGTTTTCAGTGGCTGATTTTTCCAGAAGTAGATGAATAGGCCTTTCTTTCAAGGTGGCTCTGGGTGGCCTTGAAAGGCCAACCTTTCTGTTAGCAGCTGAGCCCCCTGGATAACTAACTGCAGCACCCAGAGACTGCTGTACCTTTCCTTCCTTGAGCCTGTGGTAGAACTGAGTCTCAGATCAATGAAATGACTTGCCCAAGGTCTCACACCACATTTGTGGTCTTTCCTCTGAGTGCCCAATATTAGCGGTCCAGGCACTGGCTGACCCTTGCCTTTGAGCCCGTTCTGACTTATAGCAACCCCGGAGGACAGAGGAAGATCTGCCCAGCAGGGTTTCTTCCCTTCCTTCCTTCCTCCCTTCCTTCCTTCCTTTTTTACTCTTAAGAGTTTCAAGGCTGATATCTCTCTGGAAGCAGACTGACACCTCTCTCCTTCAGCGTTTCTGCTAAGTTTGAACCACTGACCTTTGGGTTAGCAGCTGCGCTTTCACCTCTGGGCCCCCAGGGCTCCGTAGTTAGATGACTGTGAGATCTGGCTGTCCATTTCCCTCTCCGTGTTGTGGCTGCAACAGTGGGCTCACGCATCACAGTGGCGAGGGTGGCACAGTGTTGTGTTCCGTCCTGCAGAGGGTCACTGTGAGTTGAAACCGGCTCAGTGTCCCCTGACACCACCAGGCACACCCAGGCACCAGGCGTGCCCTGCCTCAGCGGGTGCCTGTCTTGGTCCTGTGTGTCCCTAGGATCGTACACCTGTGTCTGCGCAAGGCTGACCAGAAGCTGGTGATCCTCAAGCAGATCCCAGTGGAGCAGATGACCAAGGAGGAGCGGCAGGCAGCCCAGAATGAGTGCCAGGTCCTCAAGCTGCTCAATCACCCCAATGTCATTGAGTACTACGAGAACTTCCTGGAGGACAAGGCCCTCATGATTGCCATGGAGTATGCACCAGGTGAGGCCGTCCTGGCCGTGGTCCTGGCCTTGGCCCAGCTCCCGGAGCTCCATGCTTCAGGACCAGGCTGCTAGAGACCGGCCAGCTACCTCCCTTGGACTGGGCTCGGCTGAGGGTCAGGGCTAGAATCCCATGAGAGAGAAGATGTTCTGAAATTGATCGTGGTGATGATTGCACAACCCTCAATATGATCGAACGATCCAATTGCACGGTATGTGGAATCTACGCAGTGAAATGATTTACATCATCATCGTCATCATCCTCATTAGGAAAAGGGAAGGAGAGTTGGCCCAGCCTGGGCATGGAAACACCCGGCTCCTGACCTGCCCCTTGTGGTCGTAGGTGGCACCCTGGCTGAGTTCATTCAGAAGCGTTGCAATTCCCTGCTGGAGGAGGAGACCATCCTGCACTTCTTCGTGCAGATCCTGCTTGCCCTGCACCACGTGCACGCCCACCTCATCCTGCACCGGGACCTCAAGACCCAGAACATCCTCCTGGACAGGCACCGCATGGTGGTCAAGATCGGCGACTTCGGCATCTCCAAGATCCTGAGTAGCAAGAGCAAGGCCTACACGGTGCCTGGGCACTGAGGGGGAGGTCTGGGTGGGGGGCGGGGGCACGCAAGACCTACTCTGCATCCATACCTCCTCCCGTCTCCCCTCTCCCTGAGACCCTGACCTTAGTAGTCCTGCCGGAGGAAGCACCTCGACCTGTTTTGGGAAGAAGCTACCCTGAATGGACCCGTGTGCAGAGCACGCCCTGCCCGCTTTATTCCCCTCCACTGTAATGCTGACTTCACTGCTGCAGGTGGTGGGCACCCCGTGCTACATCTCCCCTGAGCTCTGTGAGGGCAAACCCTACAACCAGAAGAGTGACATCTGGGCCCTGGGCTGTGTCCTCTATGAGCTGGCCAGCCTTAAGAGGGCCTTTGAGGCTGCGGTGAGTTAGCGGCAATTAGCATGTCCAGGAGGACAACTGGGAAATTTCTCCCTCCCACCCCCCCACCAAAAAAACTCTCAGTTCCCACCACTTCAGTGTTTCTTTGCTTAGGGCTGAGTCACCCTCAGACAGAGGGTTCCTGAGGATAGGCCCTGAGTGCGCCCCCCATTAGACTGATCTGTTGAGGGACCCTTCCAGGGGAAAAGTAGTTTTTCCAGCCCTGGGAGGGCAGGGATTGGAGGGGGAGGGGGGTGCTTCTGTGGACATGGTTGTAGCTGCCCCATCAGCCTAGGGGTTCCTGAGGGTGGGGTTTGGCCCTAGCAGGATTCTGGGGGCCCCTTTCTCAAACTGAAGGTTCCCGAGGGCAGATCTGTGGCTGGGGGTGAAGGGTGCGGCCAGCCAAGCCCTCTGCCTGATGCCCTCGCAGAACCTGCCCGCGCTGGTGCTGAAGATCATGAGCGGCACCTTCGCGCCCATCTCAGACCGATACAGCCCCGAGCTCCGCCAGCTGGTCCTGAGCCTGCTCAGCCTGGAGCCCGCGCGGCGGCCTCCGCTCAGCCACATCATGGCGCAGCCGCTCTGCCTCCGCGCGCTCCTCACCCTCCACACCGACGTGGGCAGCGTCCGCATGCGAAGGCCTGTGCCCAGGGGCCCCGGGCGGGCGGGAGGACAGGGAACCCAGGGCTGGGGTGTCCGAGGGGCGGTGGAGAGTGCGCGTCTTGAGGGCATCATCCTGCAGGGCCGAGAAGCCTCTGACCACAGGAGCACCCATGGCCCCCGGCAGTGCCGCCGGTAGGGCCACCAGCGCTCGCTGCAGGGGTAAGTTGGGGCAGGTGACCGAGGGGGAGTGGGGGCCGCCTCATCCGATACCCACAGTTCCCATGTCAATGAGCCGGAGCTGACCCTGCAGGCATCCCCCGGGGCCCTACGCGGCCAGCCATCCCTCCGCTCCTGTCCTCCGTGTACACGTGGGGCAGCGGACTCAGCGCCCCGCTGCGGCTGCCGATGCTCAACACCGAGGTGGTCCAGGTGGCGGCCGGACGCACCCAGAAGGCTGGCGTCACTCGCTCTGGGCGCCTCATCCTGTGGGAGGTGAGCGGGCTAGGGGTGAGCCTGGCTGGGAGGCCTTGTGCGAGGGTGGGAGGACGCGCAGGAGCTGGCCACCTCCTGTCCTCATCCTCCCCTGCCCGCCTCCGCAGGCCCCACCCCTGGGTGCCGCCCTCCCCGGAGCAATGGAGCAGCAGCAGCCCCAGTTCATCTCGCGTTTCCTGGAGGGCCAGTCTGGCGTGACCATCAAGCACGTGGCCTGTGGGGACCTCTTCACCGCCTGTCTGACTGGTGAGCCCGCTAGGGGCCCTGCCTGGGTGCCCCTCCCCCACCCCCGCCCAGTTTTCCGTGGGCATCTCTTGGCAAACACTCCTTCAAGGCTTTCCTCCCCCAGCTGCGCCCCAGGAACATAGTCTCTACCTGTCCCCATGTCCTAGATGGGGACACTGAGATTGGAAGCTGAGTCACCAGCCCAAGGCCTCTCACACTGTCCCCTCCCTCCTAGCTCAGCCTTCCTCCCTGCCCACTTTTCCTAGTTTCCCTGAGCCTGTACCTGGACTGTCCTGTTAAACTAGCCTCTCTCTTCGCCCACCCCACCCCCGCCCTTTTCTCACTGCCCCCTCCTCAGACCGGGGCATCATCATGACCTTTGGCAGTGGCAGTAACGGGTGTCTGGGCCATGGCTGCCTCACTGACATCAGCCAGGTAGGTGTCCCTTGAACTTGGGGAGGAGGAAGTAGAGGGTGGCTAGAACCCACGTCTGAGAGCTGACACCCCAGATGGAGGAAGGGGAACTCCAAGCAGCCCTGGGTCCCTCTCGCTCTGGCTCACACCTGTTGTGGGTCCTATGGGGGAAGTACAGAGACTAAGCTTCCCCAAAGACTGCCCACCTGGCAGTGTGTTGGGGGAGTTAAAAAGACAGACTTCTGTTTGTGGCCTCCACCTTCATTCCTATGTTGGGTGCTTGAGACCAGGTCCTAGACCCCTTGCCCACAGCGTCCCCTTGGATCCCCAGCCCACCATTGTGGAGGCCCTGCTGGGCTATGAGATGGTGCAGGTGGCCTGTGGAGCCTCTCATGTGCTGGCCCTGTCCACTGAGCGAGAACTCTTTGCCTGGGGCCGCGGAGATGGCGGTAAGTCTCTTTTTAATTGTTTTATTCGGGGCTCATACAACTCTTACCACAATCCATACATACATCAATTGTGTAAAGCACATTTGTACATTCATTGCCCTCATCATTCTCAAAACATTTCCTCTCCACTTAAGCCCCGGGCATCAGGTCCTCATTTTTCCCCTCCCTCCCTGCTCCCCACTCCCTCACGAACCCGTGATAATTTATAAATTATTATTTTGTCATATCTTGCCCTTTCCGAGCTCTCCCTTCACCCACTTTTCTGTTGTCTGTCCCCCAGGGAGGAGGTCACTTGTAGATCCTTGTAATCGGTTCCCCCTTTCCAACCCACCCTCCCTCTACCCTTGTAGTATTGCCACACACACCACTGGTCTGAAGGGATCATCTGCCCTGGATTCCCTGTGTTTCCAGTTCTTATCTGTACTAGTGTACATCCTCTGGTCCAGCCAGATTTGCAAGGTAGAATTGAGATCATAATAGTGGGGGTAGGGGGAGGGGAGGAAGCATTTAGGAACTAGAGGAAAGTTGTATTTTTCATCATTGCTACGTTGCACCCTGACTGGCTTGTCTCCTCCTGGAGAGACCCTCCTGTAAGGGGATGTCCCAATGGCTTACAAATGGGCTTTGGATGTCCCAACACATCCAGCCCGGATTGGTACCTCCTACCATCTTCCATCCCACGTGGGGGGGCATTCTCCCCTCCTCACTCCTTTGTTCTCCAAGCCCGTTCGTTCAGCAAGCCTCGTTGCACACAGTCACCATCATGTGCCCACCCTGCGCTGGGTGCTGAGACAGGAAGGACAGGTTGTGGCTGCTTCTTTCAGTAGCTGACCGCGGGATTAGGGACGTTCCGTTCCTCCAACGATAGCTAGGGAGGCCTTCTCTGGGCAGCAGCCTGGGCGCTAACGCGACAGAAGTGACTACCCTAATGGAAGACTCAGTCTGGTGGGGGCGGTAGGGTGAGCCCCGTCAGGCCCGAGGGTGGCAGCCAGCGGCCCAGAGGTGTGGGGACCTGAGTGCTGGTAGCGGATGCCACTGAGAGGTGACACGGAGCATCTGAGGCTGAGCAGGGGCTTGAAGGAGTGTAATCTGGATGGGCAGAGGGGCCAAGGGAGGGCATTTCAGGGGAAGGAACAGCCTCCTTATCCTGGACTCTCCCTGTAGGCCGGCTGGGACTAGGTACCAGGGAATCGCATAGCTGCCCCCAGCAGGTGCCCATGCCCCCAGGACACGAAGCCCAGCGGGTAGTATGTGGCATCGACTCCTCTATGGTCCTCACTGTGCCTGGCCGAGCCCTGGCCTGTGGGAGTAACAGGTGAGCAGGTGGACCAGGATGGCTGGCCTGCCCCTCGTACTCATGGCTACTAGTGTGCCTTCTGTCTATCGTCGCCCTCCTCCCACTGTGGGCCAGAACGGAGGGGGGCTACGGGTGGGCAGCTGTTCTATTCCATCAGGGTCAGATTTCTGCTCTGGTCAACCAGCTCCTGCCCAGAGAGGGGCGGGAAGAGCATGGTCTCCAAGCAGCTCCTCAGTTGCACTGGCCTGCCGTCTCCGCACTCAGATTCAACAAGCTGGGCCTGGACCACCTCTCACCGGGGGAGGAGCCTGCTCCCCACCAGCAAGTAGAGGAAACCCTGAGCTTCACACCACTAGGCTCTGCACCCCTGGACCTGGAGCCCCTGCTGAGCGTGGACCTGGGCACTGCTCACTCAGCTGCTGTGACAGGCAAGTAAATGGGGACACTTGAGGGCAGAGGTGGCTTCATCCGGCCTCTGCGGTACTTGGTTTCAGGCACCGGTCTCGCCTACAGCCTCAGGCGACTGCTACACTTTCGGCAGCAATCAGCATGGGCAGTTGGGTACCAGTGCCCGCCGGAGCAGCCGGGCACCCTGGCAGGTCCAAGGACTCCAAGGCATCAGGGTGGCCATGGTGGCCTGTGGAGATGCCTTCACTGTAGCCATCGGGGCAGGTGAGGAGTGGAGCGAGCATTGTAGGGGTGGACGGGTGTGAACGTGGGAGGCAATGGAGTTTCCCACTCAGGGCTGCTGCTGGCGGTGCAGCCTCAGGTAATGCCTGATCTCTGAGCACTTTGCCTTGGCTGTGGCCCCACCCACTTCCTTGCTTGGGGTTCTCTTTGACAGACGGGGAGGTGTATTCTTGGGGCAAAGGGGCCAGAGGACGACTGGGACGGAGGGATGAGGACACAGGATTCCCTCGGCCAGTGCAGCTGGAAGAGACACACCCCTACACAGTGACCTCGGTGTCCTGTTGCCATGGAAACACACTCCTGGCTATTCGCCGTGAGCTATAACTTTTCTTACCCCATCCACCTGGGGGTTAGACCAGCTGGCCCCTGCCCAGACTCAGCTCCCCAGTGGTTCGTTTGGCCCAGAGCCCCAGTCACCAAAAGCATATTTAGTTCCAAAACCATGAAAGTAGGAACTGAGGCAGGGTGGGGGTGGGGGAGCTCAGCTTCCGTGCCTGAGTGGGCAAGGATGGCTGTTCTTGGGCCCAGGGCTGACCTGTACAAGTTGAGTTTGGTTTGAACCTCAGTTTCAGGCCCAGCAGGGCCCAGAATCCAGGGCCCAGAGGCAGGGTGGTGTCTACTGGGTCACTGCCCCTCGGGGGAGGATACAGAACTCTCTCCTCTGTTCCCCCTCCAGCTGTCACAGAAGAGCCTGTCCCTCCCTGAAGCACGTGGACATCCTTCTTGACAGCAGATACATTGCTTCTCTGCATCCTGAAAAGCCCTGGGGCCTGCCAGCTTCCTAGACTGTCCACAGTGCGGCACGAGGGTCAGGGAGGCCTCTGGTCTTGGACTGTAAACCTCAGCCCAAGCCTGTTCTTCCAGCACATCACTCAACTCCAAGTCCAGCCTGGTGGAGTTGGGAAGCCCAGCCTAACCTTTGGAAGCAGGGTGATTCCCATAACCTTGCTCCTACCCCCAACCCTCTCCCCCCCACCCCCAAAAAAGGCTGGAGGTGCCTGTGACTGCACCCAGACCCTCTCGGCACCTTCCTCCAACCCAGTTAGAAAATAAGTCCCTGGTGCCCAGAGGTAGGGCAAGCCACTGAGCCTGGCAAGCCTGGGCCTGCCAGGACTGCCCTCTCAGCCTTGCCTCAGCGTAGCCTGGGGCCCGGAGGTCGGGGGCTGCCAGACACCTCATCCCTAGCCTATGATAGGGATTTGCACCACCTCTGTGCCCCTCCTTTCTGTATAAGAGTACTGGACTAGAGAGGGACCGGTCTCCTGCAGGGGGGATCCCACTGACCCTTGCCCCTTAACCCGGGGCATTTGTCCAACAGGGCTGGGGAAGGGCTGAACCTGCCCAGTTTCTCTGAGAACTAGGAAGTAGCGCCAATAAAGACATCAGCTGCCTGCCTGCACTGTGGTCTCTTCAGGGGTAGGAGTGGCAGTCGGACACCCGCGGCAGGGCAGGGCAGGGCAGGGCAGGGCCCGACCTCCGGTTGCAGGGCCGCGGCTGAGGGAGGAATGTGGGCGCAGCCAGAGCTTGCGGCCGAGGTTCATTTGGCCCAACGCCAGGCCCGGCCTCCCCGGCCCTGCCGGCTTCCCCGGGCCTGGTTGCCGGGCCGCGGCTGCCTAGCACCTGGGAGCTG